GTCGAGGGATTGACTTCACTTGTCTCTTTGACGAGTTCGTAGCTTGGTGCAGAGAATGGCAAAACTCACTAATGATGCCGACTAGGATGCCGGCGAAACGTTTGAGAATGTACCAAGTCTACTGTCAGATGCTGGGAATCATGACAACTAATATGGCATACGACTTTGGACTAGGTGCGTTCTACTGAGTCGCCCTGACAACAAGACAAAGTTGCGACAACGAGGTCAATCCACTTCGATAAATTGAAAGGAGACCGCGACCATACCAGAGGTCACCACATCTTGGTCCTCATAACTTCGATTAATAATGAATAGTACATATTTTATCTTTAATGGTAAATTATACGAACAAGCAGGGAGATTAGCAATTTGAAAGTGTTTATGTCCACTTTCAGTTAATAACTACATGGCTCAATTGGAAGTCCGGCTTTTCCAAGAGTCACTTCTAGTTCCAAAACTATTGGTCAGATAAATGGATGATTACTTTGATATCTGGCAGCATGGCAATTAGTGTTTAAATGACTTCCATGGTTTAATGAATAAAGCAGATAAGGCGACCTAATTCACGATGGAGTTAGAAAATGTCAGTAAGCTACCCATTTATATGTTATAGTTATTAAAAAAGACGGCAAACTGGGTAGAGATGTATATAGAAAACCCACAAATGCAAGTCGCTATCTTAATTTTTTCTCGAATCATAATTATGGTGTTAGAGGAGGCGAAATGAAATCAATGCTATTAAGAAGTTTACGTCCATTTGACGTAAGGCATCCTGAACAGGAGTTAGAAAGGCTGATAAAAATCTTAGTTTAGAACAATTATTCACTAGGATCAATCTTTAACACTTTCACCAAAAATTTTAGAAAAAAACAAGGAATTAGACAACAATTCGGTCAGGTTTCTAATGGTACCATCTTGCAAGATTTCAACAAAGATAGGCGAATTATTGAGGAAATGGAATATCAAGACACTGTATAAAGAAAGAATAAAGCTTTTCTCGATCATACTTTCTTTTAGAGGATCTTCAGACGCCCTCTGAAGATCAGGTTGTTATAAGATTTTGTGCTTATGCGGTACCGTCTGTGTGGAGGAGTCTTGTCGGCCCATACATAAGAGGCTACAGAACACAGAACAGTATGCAAACGATTACGGATTCAGAAATCCGAAGTGGCTAAAAAATGTTGTTTTTGTATAAATCCAAAATTCCCGTAGGATATGGGGAATTCACATTTAAGCAAAACGAATGT